GGAAACAAGCAGCAGGCCCCGGAGCAAGTGATTCATACTGAAACGGCGTTGCTGAAGGCGAACTATGCCACTGCCAGCTCACTCCGCCTCCCTGGAGCCCCGGGGGGCCGCCAAGTGCAGCCGGAGATGAGGGTGTCCGTGCCATCTGACCTCGGCGGGCTCTGACTGCCACCTGGCCAGGTAGGCTTGCTGCTCTCAGGCGAGCTGGGCCATGCAGGGGTGGGAGTGGAGGGGCTCTTGTGTCAGTGTGAGGCCTACCAGCTCTGCCATCCCGGAAACTGATGAGAAAGCGAGCTCCTGTGAGCCCCAGGACCTGGTCCCTCTCTGTGGGTGTGGTACAGGAGGTGAGCTGAGCAGCCGGAAGTGTGTGTCATGTTCAGTGGCCTCTGATGAAGCCCTGTGGCCGTTGCTGTTGACCTGCACCGTGCTGGGCTCCGGCACTGCTCCTTCTCTGATCACTGGTCAAGGCCTTGCACGGAGTTCCACTGAGAAAGGTGATGCATAGGTCTCTGCCAGGGATGCATGCTATCTGAGATGCAGAGAGGTCACTGACTGTGAGGGTCCTCCCTGCAGCAGACCCCCCACTCTTGCCGACCTGGGCAGTCCTCCAGGAGTGCAGAGTGGTGGCAGGGTTGGGAGGACACACCAGGCTGACTGGTGGGACCGCCGGGCCTGCCCCTTCTCTGGCGTCACTCAGCTGGGGAGTCTGTTAAGTAGGCGACTCCTGGGCCCCACTTCCCTTCTCGGAATCCTCACTTCAGCTTCCAGACGTGGAGACTGAGTAACTGGGCCTGCCTGGCTCACTGAGGAGGTGCTTACTTCTTCTCCCCTCAATCGCTATGGAACCTTCTAGAATGCCCAAGCAATGCTTTGTCTTAATCTGTTGAAGTGCCTGGAAGAACTGATGTGATAACTATGGGTTCATACTTCATTCTGCCTGTTTGTGTATGTGTGTGTGTGTGTGTGTTGATGGGGAAGGCGTATATTGTTGTATTGTTTTGATTTTATTAGGATTCTTTGTGAGGCAGTGGACTTAAGTTACTTTGTAGATATTCAGCTTGAAGTCACTTCCCAGCCAGGTGCTGGCTGGATGAGGCCTTAGGGATCATTGGAGTAGGGTCCTTGGGGCACAGGACCATGGGCTGAATTGGGCTGGGAGGCCAGAGAAGGCTTCTGTCTTTTGAGAAGAGGCCTAAGGGAGGGAAGGCCTGGCGTTTCTGTGGGTATCTGAGGAGGGTACCTGGGTGGGGTGGGGGATGCTGGTGTGGCCATCTTGAGTGAAGGACATGGTTGGGGGAAGGTCAGGGGCCTCTCTGTCTGCTTGTGCTGGAGGATGAGGGCTGTGCTCTTGGGGACTTGGACATCCAGTGTGCCAGGCAGAAAGAGCAACAACACCGTACACCCATGAGGTCACACCTTCACTCTGCTTTTGAGCATCATTCTCGTCTCCTGCGTCCTCAGCACTCTTGTCCACCAGTCTCCTACAGAGGCAGCTCCTGTTGCAAACAGAGGTTTGTTTCTGATTCCACCCCGAGTCTCTAAACTGCTGGATGTGGACTGCTGAGTCTTCCGCATTTGTAACCTCCACAAACAAGGAATTAAATACGCTTAACAACTCAGAGGCTTAAAAGCTTCTTCAATGGTTGCAGGTGTCTGACAGACCGTTGTCTGTTGTGTAATATTCTGCTCCACATTCAGTTTATTTTCCTGAGTGACTATTGATTAGAATGGGGGTTGTTTCTAGTTTTGCCCATTGAAAGAAAGGTTGATAGAATTATTTTCTAAAAGAATTATTATATATTTTTTTAATTTTTGGAGAGAGAGAATGAATATCTTCCAATAACTGGCTTAGCCCTAAAGCTAGTAACCAGGCACTTCATCCAGGTATCTCATGTGGGTGGCAAGCATTTGGGCCATCTTCTGTCTCTTTCCTGGGCACATCAGCAGGGCGCTGAATGGGAAGCAGAGCAACCAGGACACGAACTGGTGCACATATGGGATGTTGATATTGCTGGTGGTAGCTTTACCTGCTGTATCACAATATTAGCTTTGGAACTATTCTTGTACAATAGATGCTCATTGTCTATATTTCCATTTGTCTATACATTACATGGTCAACTGTAATCTGAAAATATTATATGGAAGATTCCAGAAATACAAGATTCAAACTTGTAAAAATTGGTTCCGTTACAGTGCATCATTTTCACGGTTCTGTTGTATTATTAATTTTGCCACACTTCTTCCTGTGCCTAATTTGTAAAAGTTTGTCATGGGTGTGTAGATAGAAGGTTAATTATGGAGTGTATCTGCTTCGGTAGGCTCAGGTTCCTCTGGGGTTCTCGGAACATATTCCCTGATGACAAGTCAGGACGGATGTGCTGTGTGGATGGGTGAGAATTCCTCTAGAGGATAGGTTCTAGGCACAGGGCAGGTGGATCACAAGGAATGTGCATCTTTAGGCTTGCAAAATGGATGCTACCTTTGACTAACTGATCAGCCATGTGCCAAGCTTTCTCTTCACCAAGGCCTAATTCTGTGTCAGATGGTTTATTTTTTTGCCTGTTGAGTGGAAATGAAAAGCACTCACTTGTGTTTCAGAGTTGTAGTTCCCAAATTCAGGTTGGGCGTTTCTTAGTGTCTACCTGGATCCCCTTTCCTGTTTCTATCTTTTGCTCACTTCTCTGTAGGGAGTTCTTTCCTTTCTGATACGGATCTGCCGCCGTTCCATAACTAATCTGGTTGTCCATCTTTCCCTCTGATGTTTACTGCAAATAGTTTCCACAGGTTTGGGTCTAATAGCTTCTGTTAATAACTGAACTGGTTAATTCCAAATTAGTTTAACTTCTCCGTCTATTTCTGTATGCATTATCTAAGAAATGTGCCTTCTCTATAAGGTCATGTGTTATTCTTTCATATTATATGAAGTGGTGAAAATTTTGCTTCTCATCTTTAAGATTTGAGTCTGCCAGGAGGTGGTTTTTCTGTATGGTATGAAGTACCAGGTGGTAGTTTTCTTGCCTTGGATAGTTAAAACTCGGTCTCACTATTAAAGAGCACTCTTTACCCACTGAGCTATACTAGCACCGTGATATAAGTCTGTGGCTTGCCTTCTCATTAATCTAAATCTTCTTTAAAGTGTTTAAAATGTTACACATCTCTTCCTAAGAAGGGGTATTTCTGCTACGATTTATTTCTAAATGGTTTGTACTTTGTATTATCACTAAAATGTGTGTGTTTATGTTTTCGTTCTTCTAATATGTGCTTAATTTTGGGAAGATTCATTATGGCTTTCTGATTGGAATAGATTGTGGAGGAGCAAGAGAAAAAAAAAAAGCAACACAGTCGGTCATGATGCTTTGGAAGTAGTCCAGGGTAGAGGTGGTTGTTTGCTTCGGAATGACAATGATGCAGCAGACCAAGCTGCCACCCACAATGTGGGCATCTCCCACTGCAATACCAGTTTGAGTCCTGGCTGCTCTGCTTCTGGCTCCCTGTTATTGCAATCTGGAGGCAACAGGCTACAGGCCCAACTACTTGAATCCCTGCCACCTATGTGGGAGACCAGGATGGAATTCCTGGCTCCTGGCTTCCACCTGGCCCAGACCTGTGTGTTGTAACCATATGAGGAGTGAATCAGTGGATGGAAGGTCTTTATAAAAATGATAGTGGCAGTGGTAATAAGAGCTGGTGAAGTGCTCAAATCCTAGATTTGCTTTTTGAGGGTGGGCCTTGACTATGATTTCAGAGTAGGGCACATCGCAGATGGCCCCAGAGTGGTAAGAAGGATGCAATCAGCTTTTACTGAGCTAGCACCAAGGGCTGCGGGTGCAGATCTGGCAGGTGGTGCTTGTTCAGGAATACGGATCTGCACACATAAAAGTGGTCAAGCTTCTCAGACAGTAAGTAGAGACACAGTCTTGGAATCCTCCCAGCTCCACGGTTGCAACCTTCATGGTAGAAAAGCAAGTTTAGATGACTGGGATGCTGTAAAAGGGATGTTTTCTCAGAGTTCGCCCAAAAGCACTGAAGTCTGTCGCCTGTTTTATGAATAGCTTTCACTGGCTCTCGCCTTCCCATGCAGCACACCGACACACCGGTAAAAGCACACCGGAAGGAGGAATGACATCTCCAGGCAGCATTCCCAAACCCTGCCCTGGCTGATGGTCCTCCCCATAGCTACCGCACATGTCAGGTTCAGACATCTAGACTGAGGCTGTGTGATACCGAAGCCGCTGGTCACGCTGAAGATGTGGCCAGCATGAAGCCAGATGCAGAGACAAAACCATGCACCAGACTTCCTTGATGTTACAAAAAAAGGCCTATGCTGTCTCATGGAAAGTTGAGAAGAGATTTCATATTGGAACAATTTCATATTGGTTCTAGGCTGTGCCGAGGAGAATAAATGCTATGGGTGCTCATGTTCGTTATATACAATGGTGAATTTTTTGCATCAACCCTACACACATCTCCCCTTGTACTTACATCACCTCTAGATTACTGGCTGCATTATAAGTGCTATGTAAACTTTTTAGGCAATAATGACAAGTGTGGGGGAAATGTAGATTTTCCAGATAGTTTCAACTCATCGTTGGTTGCATCTGTGGGTTGGGAACCTACGGATATAGGAAGATGAGTGGCACTACATTAAGTTTAATTTAAAGATTAATGTTGGCCTAGTTACTTTTACTTTTGTAATGTGGCTAATTCAGACACACACCTGTGGCTTGAACTTGCGGCTGGCTGTATTTTTCTATTGGCAACACCCACAGAGAAGTGATTCTTTTTGTTCTGGGGCCAGAGGCTTTTTTTTTTTTTTTTGGGAAACAAGCTTCAAAAGGATGGGAAGTGAGGGAAGTGAGAAACTGCTGGTCTCATATAACTCCAAGGAGAAAGCAAGTGTGAGGGCAGAAAATGACCAGGTCCTCGATGGGACACTTGTCTTTGCAATCACATTTTAGCCTCATGTTGTGATCAATCCCATTATTCCAATTTTACAGAGAATGGAGGTTTGGAGAGACAAAGTCCTCTACCCTTAAGACGAAGGTTTGGATGTGAACCTAGCTCCTGGTTCCATTGGGCTTTTTAGAATTTGTGTTACTATTGTTGTGGTTTTAAAGATTTATTTTTATTTTTGTTTGAAAGGCAGAGTTACAGAAAGGAGAGACAGTGAGCTCTTCCAT